CTAGTTAGGACATGAAAGGACTGGTTAGGACAGAAAAGGACAAGTAAGGACGAATAAGGACTGGTTAGGACATAAAAGGACAAGTTAGGATGATACAGGACTAGTAAGGACGGAAAAGGACTAATAAGGATACTAAAGGACTAGTAAGGACATAAAAGGACTGAAAAGGACAACAAAGGACTAGTAAGGGCGGAAAAGGACTAATAAGGACAGAAAAGGACTAGTAGGGACGGAAAAGGACTAGTAAGGACATAAAAGGACTAGTAAGGACGGAAAAGGACTAGTAAGGACATAAAAGGACTAGTAAGGACGCAAAAGGACTGATAAGGACAACAAAGGACTAGTAAGGGCGGAAAAGGACTGATAAGGACAGAAAAGGACTAGTAAGGGCGGAAAAGGACTAATAAGGACAGAAAAGGACTAGTAAGGACATAAAAGGACTAGTAAGGACGGAAAAGGACCAGTAAGGACATAAAAGGACTAGTAAGGACGGGAAAGGATTAGTAAGGACATGAAAGGACTGGTTAGGACAGAAAAGGACAAGTAAGGACGAAAAAGGACTGGTTAGGACATAAATGGACAAGATAGGATGATACAGGACTAGTAAGGTCATTAAAGGACTAGTAAGTACGGAAAAGGACTGGTTAGGATACTAAAGGACTAATAAGTACAGAAAAGAAGTAGTTTTGAGAAGTGCGTTTTGCTTACAAAACGTTGTGCACAGTGTTCAATTAATTTATGTTGCACGACTATATGGTGTGCTAACATGTAGTGCATGCCCACATGACCGACCGGTGACGTGACCACAGTTCCGGTGTTTTAAGCAATAAGTTAAACTTTTTCGCCAAGCTGAATACTGATGGAATACTGGTGTACCGGTAATTGAGTTTACGTGGACGTCCGTATTTTTGTTGAAGAGGCTTATTAAACATGGCTCATTATTTTGATGTAATCGGTTGCGGAATCAAGCAAATGCATGCACAATTCTCTCTTCTCTTTGGACTGCACAATGCCATGGTCTCTTGAGTAAGTTGTCTTGATAAATAAAACTGAACACTGTTGAAGACAACCCAGAAAAGACACTGAGAAAAACTTGACGGCGACGCCTTTCAGTTATGTAAACGACGCCTCAGACGATTCAAACGAAGTCTGTCTCCATATAACTTACTTTTTTCTTAAGGCACCAGTTTTTGTCAGTCACGTTTTTCTCCTCGCTTTGCTGTCCCATGAGAATTGGCATTCATTGCTGACAGTGGTATCAAGCGTCTTTTCACCGGAATCGACTCCTCTAGTGACACAGCAGTCTCCTCTCCTGTACTCAGCTAATTTATTCATTTGTGCCTTTTTTTTATCTGTTTATTTATTTCATTGTCATTGCTAATATTATTTTTTTCAAATCGATCGCTTGGAACCTTCTTTCACAGATTCCGTATTCCGTTTCCGTTTCCGTTTCCGTGATTCCGTTTCCGTTTCCGGATTCCGGATTCCATGTTTTAGTGCTGCCGCCATATACTCCTTTACATCTTGCTACAGCAGTACAAGGTGCACTGCAGCAAAACAGCAAATAACAACTCCCAAGTTTCTAATGTTTGAGGTCCAAAGAATTGATTCCAATGATCAGATGCTGTAAATTATTTGAAGTCAAACAATTGCGCTTAAAAGCATTCTTTCACGGTATTCAGTGAACACAAAAACGAGAAAAGTCGGTTAAATATCCTTGTCGATCCTTGTCCCGTGACAGCAAGAAATACCGACGAACAGAAGGTTATAACCTTCTTCATCAAAGTAAGTATTTGCTGCCATATTGGAAATTATTCAATGTCCAGCTTACACAAGGGGTTTGAATTTCATTTGAAAATCCGCTGAACGGCTTAAACTTGTGTGACTTTGCGTGACAAAATTGTGTGACAGGAAGGCTAATGATTGCGCAATGTTGCAAAAAGAGGAAAAATATAGTTTATAGTTACTTTTTTTCAAGTTTGTGTTAAATACTATGACTTTTTCCCTTATAAAATAATACATTCTGTCTTTTTTAGCTAATTTTATAAAAGGAAAGGAACGATAGCGTGAGCCCGCACCTCCAGCCGCTGGCTGTATGAAATTTTTCGCCATGCTTTGCGATTCAGGAATCGCCTTAGCTTGCGTCAAGTGTGAGATGGCTGTCAAAATTCTCAATGTTTATCAAATTGCACTTCTCTTTATAATAGTTTAGAAAATATAAGATTCGTCATCAGAATTATTAGTAGCCTTCAAACCAAATCTCTGGATATCGACTTCTTTTTTAAAACCACACTGTCGGTAACCCATCGACAAACGTTCTCAAAAGGAAAAGAGTGATGAATAAAACTCATTGTTGTAAGCTACATGCAAACGGACGCAACAACTCCCAACATAGCAACAACATAGCAACTGACCATCACTACACTTGTCTCAGAATGCGCGATAGGGATAAATGAACAGCTACTGAAACAGCTGCTGATGTTTTCTCGTCTATAGGAGAAAAACCTCAGGGGGTGGCAAATTTATCCAAACCTTTTTAAATAAGCATTTATTTAGCGTGGCCACGTCCTTGCGGAGATAATTCTGTAAAATCATGCATTACCCAACTTTGTTCCAAACCCATCCGCAGACATACGTTTAACAGCCTCACCAAATGCATCTTATCTTTGGGAGGGTCACCAATACGTTTTTCGGGATCCGCGATTTCCCTTATTTGAAGCTCGGGATTCGGGATATTAAAGCAAAAACATTCAAGATTCGGGATTGAAAGTATGCGCGGGAGTTAGAATGCCCGAACTAACCCTAGGGATTACGGGATTGCAGAACTTTTGGGTCGGGATTACGGGATTGAAGAACCCTATTGGGGACCCTCCATTGGGACTCTGATGCAAGTTCTTTTTACAAAATTCGTCTACACACCCATCTTTTTGCTAGACCGTATAGGTTGAAAAGTTGAGGAGTTTTTATCATTTAAGGTCATTTTAAGGTGGCTGAACACAGTTATGAGGGCGGTCAGTGTTAACTCGCGTGACGGCGCGTGTTTTAAATTAGACAAACAAACATGGCGGCGAAAAAGCAATGGTACACAGAAGACAATTTCTCAAAATCTTCTTATTAAAATTTTGTTATATTTGGCACAATTTTTACTTTTATCGTATTTTAAATGACGAGGACTTTAAAATGGAAGTTGAACTGACAAATTTTGTGACACATTTAATAATTACAGAACAATTATATTATTGATTATCTAAAAACCCGTCTGTTAAAATATGGACAAATAAGTTTCAAATGGTAATAATTAATTACAGTAAGCTGTGTACAAGTTTATAGGAAAATCTAATGAGCGAACTTTATGTAAACTGAGCAGAAGTGAAATTTTAAGGTTGTATTCAATCGTTCATGTTGCCATGGAAACTACGAAAACGTCAAATTTTACCTGCCAATCAAAATCTTTCATCAGTTTATTATTCACTTGCCAAGTTTTAGCTTGTGAGCTGCAACCTTTGTCTTGACATGATTTGGCAAATGACATATACTCACAAACTGCAAAAACTGTGTTCAGTCACTTTAATTTAAACATAGTGTGAAAATGAAAAACAGTAGGGGAGAACAGTAAAAACCGCTGGTGTAAGAACCTACATTTTTGAAGCTTGGAAACAATAAAAATGGCAAATAATTAGGCGAAACTTCGCCAAAGGTTTGGAGAAAAATTTACATGGTTCGAATTAGCGCATGGCTTGAATTAGAGAGGATTCGAGTTATCGAGAATGGACTAGCTGTACACTTTGTTGAAAGTTTTCTTTTTCCATCCCTTTTCTCCGGCCGAGCGGTCCGGTAGACAATACAATAGATTTTCTTTGAAGAAGAAGTTGCATGAATTATAATGTGCAACTTGCTCTTACCCCATCTTTCTCAAACGGAGGAGAAATATCACCTTTGTAAGTAATGATTTTACTGTCCTCGGCTAATTGCCGCAACTCGGGTTCCGGGCCGTCGTTACCTGACAGGCATTTAATCAGACTCCAAATTTTCCGTAAATTATGCTTTTTTTCTGTGAATTTGGTCTTAAAGTATGTTTTCTTTGTTTGCCTAATTAAGTTAGTCACGTAATTTTTCGCTCGCCTGTAATTAAGCCAGTCGTGGTCGGAACCGCTTTCCTTGGCTTTAGTGAGAAGTTTATCGCGCTCCTTGAATCCGTCGACGATGTAGCTATTGAACCATTACGTTGGGACGTACGCTTCACTCGTTTGTGTTTCAGTAAGGGATGGACCATTAGAAAAGTTATGGGGGGAGGGGAGGGGAGGGAAGGGGAATTTTCGAGCTGCAGGAATTTTTTTTCCTTATCAAATTCTTTGTGTGAATACTTTTTAGGCCATGGCATGAATGTTTTTTAGGATTAATTGGCGTGCAAGAATTTTTTTTCATTTAATTTTCCCTTGGGCGAATATTTTTTTTGTACTTCGCCCGCCCGCCCCTCCCGCCTCCCATAAGTTTTCTAATGGTCCGTCCCTAAGAGGAAGGAATCTATCGACTACGCCATGGAAAATATCGCACCAGGTATCAACAACGTCATTAGGATCATCAAAAATAAACGCAGAATCCCAGGGCGCCTCTTTCAATGCAGCAATAAACTGTTCTTTATTAAGATTCTTTATGTCACGGTAGGTGATTGTCGTATGCTCACTTTTATGCACGCCCTTGTATTTTCTTGTCACAATGGTTGGTAGGTGATCCGACATACCAGTTGATAAAACCCGCACGTTTATTAACCGCTCAGGGTGACTAAAACGCAATGCTGAGCTCTTTTTGTAATTTCTAAGGCTACTTTCACGAAAACAGCGATTAAAACAAAACTCGTCGATAGATTTTTTTTAAATTTTTTAGTTCGTTAATTGATCAGTGTACTATTAATTCCCCGAATTTCGTGTCGATTGCTCCCGCTTCTTACCTTAATGAGTCGTTTTTCTACTGTCCTTTTGTTAATAATTTTCACCGAAATCATGCCAAAAGAGTCAGTTACTTCACTAAAGCAACAAAATCAAGATTTAAAGGATAAGGTCGACGCCCTTTCGAAGGAAACAACGCAGCTGAAAGAGAAGGTTCGGGTCGATTCGGCCATTACCTTTGGTGCTGAAGCATCTGCTACGTCTGGTAATAGCAATAATAATGCTTCGAATGGTGAAACCGTGTCTCGTAGTCTACAATATCTGAGCGACGGATACGACGACCTGTCGGCGTCTAATTCTGGTGTCGTTGATCAACTCAAGGCATTAAGCCGTCGTCTTAATAAGCTTAGCGCTGAAGTCACACGTGTTGGCAACGCCATTGACGAGGTTGAGGAAAATAGCTACCAATTTAATGTAAAAATAATTGGCCTGCCAGAGAAAAGCAGTGCAACCGCAGCTGAAACAAGTGCCCTGTGCGTAAAATTATTCCAGGAGATGGGGGCAGAAGTGTTTCTGTCAGACATTGACATTGCTCATCGCGTCCCCTCGAGGCAGCAAAATGGCGCTCCGAAACCGATCATCTGTAAGTTTGTAAGACGCCTTGCAAAAGCAAGTGTCATGGAAACTCGACAAAGTGCCTCTCAAGTCAACCCATCAAATATCAGTCTGTCTGCTGATAGTGTTCTTGACAGAGTCAGAATCTTCGATCACCTCACCCCCCCCACCCAAAAAAAAACAACACCAGTTGTTTGAAGCGAAGAGATTTAAAGAGCAGAACCAATACCGCTTCTGCTGGGCCAAGAATTCCACGATTTATTTACGCAAGAGTGAGGGTTCCCGACCAATAAAGATAACTGACATTGGTAGTCTACAGCGACTTGTCTCGGAGACCTGACATTATTACTTTAGTTAGTTCTATTCATGAGTGCTAACGATCAAAACTCTCGCGATACTCTATCTTTATTCCGTGAGCTCCCATATTTTGGATTAAATATAAACTTAGCTCATGGTCAATTTAATAATTGTTTACCTTCCCATTTGCCGGCCAAAAAATACCTAGAAAAACTCTCTAGCATTTATGATCTTAATCTTTTCAGGCTAAACGCACTTGAAGACCCCAATTCGGGTGATAGTCTCTATAATCATCGTATTCATAGTCGATACTATTCCCCATATAGTTTCTACAAATTTAAAAGTGAACCTCCTAGTCGTGTCAGTGATTCGAGCTTCTCTCTTTTACATAATAACATCAGGAGTCTTAACCAAAACCTTGAAAACTTTCAAGTTCATCTACTGGACGAGTTAAATGTCGAATTTAGCATTATAGGAGTCTCAGAAACTAAAATAATCAGCGGTAAAGAAATGGATTTTAATCCAAGCATACCTGGATATGTTTTCGAATATGTGCCGACACCTCTAGCTTCTGAAGGTGTTGGCTTGTACATTAATGATTCCCTGAAATATACTGTCATTGAAAAAGTATCTGATGAAGCCTTCCAGTCACTTTGGATCGAAATCCAACTTCCGCAGAAAAGTAACATCATTTGTGGTATCATATATAGACAACATAACTCTCCCAAACGTTTCCAAGAATATTTTGATGATAAACTTGAAAGACTAATTACCTCAAACAAATCAATATATATTATGGGCGACTTCAACATAAACCTCCTTCATGCCGAAACTTCCTGTCATGCTCAGGACTTTTTACTTTCTCTTCAAAGCTTTTCATTTATCCCAACTATTGACAAACCAAAACGTTCACGATCAGCCACCCTAATTGATAATATTCTAACAAACAAAGTTGATGTTGAAATTACCAGTGGGAATATTATCTCTGACATAAGTGATCACTATTCACAATTCTGTATTTCTCACAATTTTATTCAGAGGCCAAAACCCGGAAAGCAAAAACGCAGAGATTTTTCTGGTTATTCCAGGAGCAAGTTCAACTCTGAACTCTCTGATGCTTTGGTAAGCCAAACTAAACTTTAGCGATCAGTTTGATGTCGATACAGTTTTTTCTTACTTTTACAATACACTATTGGCAGTCGTTGACAAACATGCTCCTTTAAAGACTGTTTCGAATCGCAAGCTTAAGCAGTTCTCTAAACCATGGATAACGAGTGGCCTTAGAAAATCCATCAAAATAAAAAATTCTCTCCTCCAATCGGGTGATCTTGTCAATTATAAAATATACAGAAATAAAATTTCTAGTCTTACTCGGCTGAGTAAAAAGAATTATTATCATGCATTCTTTGCTGAAAATTTAAACAATATGAAGAACACCTGGAATGGAATAAATAGGCTAATTAACGACAAAAAGAATAGAAAACAAGTCATTTCTTCCCTGTCCTAATGATAACAGCTTAACTAATGATCCTCTTGAAATTTCTAACATCTTCAATAACTACTTTTCTTTGGTCGGTAAAAACCTAGCTTCACGAGTACCTCGTTCATCTCGCTATTTTACCGAATATTTGTCTCCCAATTATAATCCAAGCTCTTTCTTCTCTGATCCAGTTACGCCAGAGGAAATTGAGCGTGAGATACTTTTAATCCCTAAAAATAAAACTTACGGTCTCTACTCTTGTCCGATTCGTATTTTAACTGACGCAAGATGCGTTATTTCGGGCCCTCTCTCCATCATTATAAACATATCTGTGCAAAAGGGCAACTTTCCATCCAAACTGAAAAAAGCGAAAGTTGTTCCTGTGTACAAAAATGACGATGAGACTGAGCCTGGTAATTATCGTCCGATATCATTACTGTCTATTTTCAATCGGATATTTGAAAAATTAATGTACCACCGCCTCAATTCCTATCTTGGTAAAAACGATATTCTATTTAAGTGACAGTATGGCTTCCACGAAAACCATTCCACGCAACATGCCATTATTTATATCGTTAATGTCACACAAAACAATATGGACCAAAAACTTTTCACTTGCGGGATCTTTTTAGACTTAAAAAAGGCCTTTGATACCATCGACCATTTAATCTTGCTTCAAAAACTTAATCATTATGGCATCAGAGAAATTATCAATGCCTGGTTTGCCTCGTACCTTCTCGGTCGTTCACAAGTAACTGAAGTGGGTTTTAACTTATCTACCGAATGTATGATCTCATGTGGTGTCCCACAGGGGTCTGTGCTAGGTCCTCTGTTATTCTTAATCTATATTAACGATATTCACAACTCTTCAGCGAAATTGTCATTCTATCTCTTTGGTGATGACACCAGCTTGTTGTATGCTGACACAAATTTGAAATCTCTTGAAAAAAACCGTCAATAGCGAACTGCTCAAAGTGTCCGACTGGCTCAATGCAAATAAGTTAACGCTCAATGCTAAAAAGTCAAACTATGTTATCTTTCGTCCATATCAACGTAAGTTGAACTACTCGGTTAACATTGAAATGATTGATAACGGTACTCAAATTCCTACCACGCTTCAGTGCGAAGACCATGTTAAATATCTTGGCTTCCTATTGGACAGCAATTTAACCTGGAAATTTCAAATTAATAATGTTGCATTAAAAATAAGCAGAACTGTTGGTGTTGTTGCCCGTGTTAGACACTTCGTCCAACGTACAACCCTTTTAGATATTTATCAATCATTGATATTGCCTTATCTGACATATGGTTTGGCGGCTTGGGGTCAAGCTGCCAAAACCCATTTACAAAAAGTTCTCGTGCTTCAAAAACGAGTCCTTCGCTTGATGTATTTTTCTAAACCTAGAGCCCATGCTGTGCCATTATTTACTTCCTAAAAAATTCTACCCTTACATATGTTGTATGCTGAAAAATTATCTTCTATAATGTTTGAGGTCTCCTGCATGAATGCTCCGTCTAACATCTGTGATTTCTTCACTAAAGCTAATTCAAAGCACAAGCATGAGACCAGGTTTTCTTCGTCTGGAAATTATTATGTCCAAACTTCAAGACTGAATCTAAATCAAGATTATTTTTCCAGGTTTGGAGCTAAACTTTGGAACGCAATTCCTAACGAATTTCGTCAACTCTCCAGAGCAGCTTTAAAAAAAATTTTCATGACTTTTTGCTCTCGATAACGGAAGCAGAGGACGATTATGTTGAAGTGCCCATTCTCCTACAAAAAATGGCAAATTCTGCATCCTTGTTACAATGCACTAATAATCGATAGGTTCTGTTAGTAATAAATGTGATTGTAATATCATTCTGTAAGACTATATATTTTGTAACTTTAGCTTGTTTTTCTGTAATTCTTATTTATCCACACATTTTATTTAGTTACTTTACAATATTATCTGGTATGACTGCTGTAATCTTTCCTCTCCGCCCGCCTCGTCTAGCTTTTGCTATTTGTGGCGGAAATGGCAAAATGATGTGTATGAAACAAAGTATAGTGTGTGTGTGTGTGTTTTTTTAAAACTTCTACACTGAGACAAACGCGGCAGAGTACGCGGGAGTTGAGGAACAGCGATGACCAAAAGTTTTGTCTCTGCACGATTGATCAAAACAGAATTCTCACAACACCACCTGGATATTTCTAAAAAGGTCTTAATTTAATGCGACACATTCATCGGTAATATCACATCATCCACATTAGCCTCATGATCTGCAATGCTTGGGAACCGACTTCGCAGAATTTCCCACTTGCGATTGAGGGAACGAGATTCCGCACACGCTGGTTCAACAATCGAGGACTGTATACTTTCGTGCAAATCTGACTTTATTCTTCACTATTCAATATTATACGTTCCGTTATACGATCGATCTAACTAAATTTTACAAGAACACTGCTTATTTTAGCTAAGGAAGTCCACAACCGGATGTGTAATTACGGCGTGGTCACAACAATCAAATGGGGTCCTATTTCTTTGCTCATGCTCAACAACGATTTGTGGACACTAATTTCCACTAATTTCCTATAAGTGAGCATGGGTTTACTTGACAATTATGGTACTAATCCCTATGCGCGATTAAGCTAGTAATACCCGATTAAAAACAACATTGTTTTATCTTATCCGATCCCACGATATTTCCTGTTAATTCTAACTATCTCTTTTAGCGGTAGCGAAAAAATGGCTTACTTAATCAACTACTGAAAATATAATGAAATAAGACTAACGTTTCACAACGGCCGACAATGGATCGTTAACATACACTGTAAACAGTACTGGACCTAGTATAGATCCTTGGGGTACTCTAACAGGTAGTATGTTGGAGGTAGTACCTCGATCCTCACGAATTGACTGCGTTGGGTAATTTCAAACCGGGTCAGACCAGACGTTTAGACACCGATGTTGTGGAGTTTCATTAGTAGGTGCTCATCCTGAATGCTGTCAAATGCCTTCGACATGTCTAACAACACGATCAATGAGATTTTCTTCCAGTCCATATTCTTTAAAATGTCCTCAGAAAAGTGAAGCAAGGCAAACCTCGAGATCTTTCCTGAATTGTTCAAAAAATGAACAAATTGACGAAAGGCTAGTCTTTTTGCAGACCTTCGATAATACTGGAAGTAAGGAAATTGAGCGGTTAAAAACAGGGTCCTCAAAGTCGCCAGACCTTAAGACTGGTATTACTTTTGTCATTTTCCACGACCGGGCCAAAGAGCCTGTAGCAAATGACTTGTTAAACAAACGTGTGATTATCGGAAGTGATACAGGAAGGAGGTCTTTAAGAACTCTAGAGGTTATTTTATCCATACCAGGGGCTTTATTCCTGGGTAGACCTTGAACAATCTTTTCTACTTGAGATTCAGTTACCGGAC